GGGTCATGCTCCCAGAAAATACGTAGATTAATCGCATCTAAACATATAATATACTGTCTTAGACCCATGTTTAGTGTAGGTGTTATTTCTTGTAGGAATTTGTGGGTTCCTACGTTAAGTCAAAAGGTAAACTATTATAAAGTATTTCTAGAAAGTATAATTTGAAGGGAAAAAAAAAAATAAATATGTTTTATTTTCACGTAGCGGTTTGCCCATGATCTTGTCATAAGACAAAGAACAGGAAAGCCTGTCGTCAAATATGGTGCTGAAGGCCGGTACGTTAAAGATTAATAATGTATTTTTTACAAAAGATTAAAATTGACTTTTTTTTTTATTAAAGATCTTCAGTGAGTGGCCATATAGCAACTGTTTTTGGCTGTACAGGATTTTTAGGACGTTATATTGTTAGTAAACTTGGTAGGTGATAAAAAAAAAGCCAAATATCTATTTGAATTACTATTTTAATAGACTTATCTGGATCAACGTCGCAGCTAGGCAAGGAACTCAAATTATTGTACCGTACCGAGATGAAGATTCAAAAAGACATTTAAAAGTTTGTGGAGATTTAGGTCAGGTTGTTTCTATGGTACGCACTTTTTTTAAATCCACATACTTATCTATATATTATATATATATTATATATTTCATATTTAACATTTATTTTGGGTTAATTATTTTTTAGGAGTTTGATCTTCGCAATGAAAAAAATATCGAGGAAGCAGTTAGACATTCTGATATTGTTTACAACTTGATAGGCAGAGATCATGAGACAAGGTATAATTAAATTGATTCACGTTTGAAATTTTTTTTTTAATTAGCGTTAGAATAAATTAAAACAAAAAAATTTACAGGAATTTCACTTTTGAGCAAGTTCATGTCGAAGGTGCTGCTAGAATTGCCAAAATTTCAAGAGAAGCTGATGTTGCTCGATTTGTACATGTATCAGCCTTGAATGCTGATAAAAATTCACCATCCAAGTTCTTTCGTTCAAAAGTATGAATAATTATAATTATTATCATTTGTTTTTTTTTTTATTCAATTCTAAAATTTAGTGTATTATATTTTAATAGGCTTTGGGTGAAATAGCTGTGAAAAAAGAATTTCCAGAAGCAACTATAGTTCGTCCTTCTACTATGTATGGGCATGAAGACCGATTTTTAACTAGATATGCAGGTTAGTTGGATTAATTTTATCATTTTATATTGTTTTTATGATTAATTTTATTATCATCATTATTATTATTTTTTTAATTTTAATTTTAAAGCATTAATTATTTTGTAGAAACCAAATATGAATATATACTTAATTATGGTCAAACAAAAGTTAGACCTGTTCATGTACGTAGCATAATTTGTACTATGATGTATATTTATTATGAATTTTATAAGTTTTATAAATTTTATAAGTTTTATAATTCACTGGCTATTTTTTTTTTTACAGGTTTTGGATGTTGCTCAAGCGCTCGAACGCATGTTAAAAGATGAATCAACCACGGGAGAGACTTATGAATTATTTGGTCCTCGTGAATTCACATATGAAGAAGTATATGATCTAATTAGAGACTTAACTGAAAATCGTAGATATAGATTCTATATTCCAAAACCATTAGCATTAGCTGTGACGAAAGCATTTAATCTACCTTTTTTGCTAACAATTTCTCCTGAAAATATTGAGAGATCATTTATTAGCGATAAAATTACTCCGGGAGCAAAAACTTTCGAAGATTTGGGAATTCGACCGTTAGGTTTAGAGATGAATAGTCTTGGCATTGTTAGAAGATTTAGAAGCAGTAAGGTTTATGACCGACCTCTTGAAAAAGGTTTGGCGCTTGAAAAAAGTTTGCCGAGGAGGAAAAGGATAATTCATACTGAATATTGAGTAAATAAATATATTTTTGAAAAGGTGACGTGGGAGATGATATATTTGGTATGTATTTGTTGTTACATAGTAATATGGATTCTTATAGATCAACATTGTAGATAAGTATTTGACAAATTTTAATGTGTAATTTTATATGTTCTAGACACTTTAAAGTAGTAAGAATAAAGTTTTTTTTTTATTAATGATAGATTTTATAATTTTATTTATGAATAAATAATATAAACAGATATATGCTATTAGATGCAAAAAGTAGTACATATGTTGTAAGTGGGAATAGAATCATAGTAGAGTTCAGAATCCACTTAGATCAGAATAGAATAATTATACTAAAAACTCCAACCCTAACCTTAAAATTCCGAATCAACTTAAATTCTGTTCCCACTTATACATATTTGTAAATGCGCAGTATTTATATATAAAACTTTTAAAATAAGAATTTGAAGTCATCTTATTTTAATTTAAATAAATACATTATTGCTTTAAAATTTTAATAATAAAGTTATAAACTACAAGCTTAAATGTTTTTGAAGTTTGTATTTTTATTACCAAATCGTATATATGTGTCTGTTTTGGTGATCTGAGTGTTATACGAATATGTGCAGCAAAGCGCGTTATAAATTTTTACATACATTTAACAAAAGATTTGTTATTACAAGTGGTAATTATTATCAATTATTATCAATGGCGTATAACCAACCAAATTACGGATACAATATAAAATCGTTTTTTTTTGACTCTTTTTTTTGTGATTAGCGCCTTTCATTAAAAAATCACTAAATTGTCGTGAAAAGCGAAGCCTTGATATAAATGTATTTTCAAAATAATAGTAAAAAAAATTATACATAAGTACAATTTGGCAGAGTTATTTCATACTTATTATTAAAAGAGAAATTTATGTTTTCAAAAATCCTATTGAAAAATGGGCTAAACACGAAAATTGGTTATTAACGACAGAAGCATGTATATATTGGAGAGCTCTCCACAGCATACCATAAATAGATGACTGGCCTCACTCAAAGAGCAAACGCACACAGCCCCTAAAGTGTATACACCTTAAATAAAGTATTAAGAAGATATGTTTAAGTATTTAGAAAATATGTTTAAGTATTTAGAAGACATTTTGCACTCATGAATAATCGACTTAGAAGACTATAATACAAAAAAATTATTTGTGTTATTGAGTTTTTATCAAGTGATTACTTATATTTCAACGAATTAAATTTGGTGAATTTTCTTATATTTTAGTATATAGCTT